ATTCATACACAATGCAACAAACACACACACACACAGTATTTGCTGATGCTCACTCTCAGGCTTCATAATTTTGCGTAGGTTAGAAATTCTTTCAAGCAGTATTTTAATTGAGCACTGTTTGATGACTGTATTGCATTGTGTATGAATTTTGCAGTTTAAAAAACTATACATGCCAGCCCTCACACAGAGAACATATTCAACGAGGAAAAAGTGTGTTTACAGACAACAAGGGGACATTGCATAGTGCAAGGCTGAGACGAAGTTCGCTTGTTACTCTCTCTATGTTTGTGAGATACGGTATAGGTGAATTACGGTAAGTGATAATTCGAGATAAAATTTGACGGAATTGGGAGCTTGTTGAATAATGGGAACCAAAACTTGTCAGTTCTGCGTGCACGTGGGTGGTCAGGATCTGTGAGAATCCTCTCGGCGAGTTTGACACAGGAAGTTATGTGTTACCCTGAATGCTGGAAAGCTAACTCATTCACCGGACTAGAAGAGACACGCTAATAATAGTTAGACCGCGGCATAAGAATTTGGAAATTCTGTTTGCGTAAACCAGGAAAAATAACCGGGGAGTAGTAGAATAAGATGGGAAATAAACACTGATAAACAAGGTAAAATTAACCGATCGGGATTTGCGAATCTGTCTGAGCTTTCGAGTTTGAGCAGATAGGCACCGCAGTTTATCAATACAACGAAAATTGCCTACTATAGTTACACCAAGATATTTGACTGAGTCAACTTGAGATAAAAGTCTGTTATTATTATGGGGTCCGGCGAATGTGAAGAGCATGCCAAACTGTATAAACATTCAAAAAATTTACTGAGATTTAGGCCTAATTCCGATTGGGAAGAAAATCACTAACTACTGAGTTAGTTATTCGTGTTGATGCTTCGTACGAGTTCCGCTTCCATCTGTTCAAATACCCATATAAACATTAAATTCACAGCCCTTATGCGATGGAAGAACTGACTTGAAACATTGCGATCGCGTTGAAATCATATCGATCATTTCATTTATCAAATCCACCAATGAGGGATGAGAGAAAACAATTTGGCGCCAGATCCAATCCAATTTGCAGACACAACAGGTGTATTGATTTATTTTCAAAATATTTCCCCAAAATAAAAACAACTGTGACACAGGCTAATAGTTCAATGAAAAATAATGATCATAATAAGAACATCAATAGTTTAACAGTCATCGGATTTTGATTATCACCTGACAAAGGGATAGTCCTCTGCGGTCGACCGGCGTCGTCGTTCTGGTGTTGGAGAGAATGATTTAGATATCGCGCTCGTCTGTGTTTGGGATGCCGAATCCAATCCAATCCAATCAAACCAGTGGTGGGACCAAAACCACCGGGATATTGGAATGATGCAATACGTAATCACTCACACTGCCCAAAAATGTGCGTCGCAACGCACCGACACCGCGGTTCCCAATCATGATCATATCAACAAACTGGTCTCCGGCGACGGACACAATCAACTCACCCGGTTTGGTCCCGGTGCGCATCAAGAACCGGCCTTCGATTCCGTGCTGTTTCACTTGATTCACATACTGTTCACCAAGCTCCTGACCAGCTTTCTCCGAGTCACGAATTTTGGTGTGTAATTCACTGACAACCTCACTGGCGTTCGAGTCCTGTGTCGGTCGGGACACATGGGGTTCGGCAATGTGCAAAAAAAAGACAAGATCTGAGTCGCGACAGAATTTGTCCAGATACCAATTTACGGCACGTTTACTATGCTCACTTCCGTCCACGGGGAACAGGATTCGGCGTACTTTGGGCGCATCTGCCTTTTCGGTAGACATTGTTGTTGCTGTTGTTGTTGTGTTGAAGAAAATAGCTTTGCTAAATACGAATAATTCACTCCGGGTTCGCCTGGTGGATTAAATGCGATTAAGCCTCAGTGTGCGTTCGTGCGTATGTATGTGTTTGTGAGGTTTATTCAGCACATCACAGCAGATTGTCACGTGACTTTGCTGCATCCTGATTGGTCCAGTTCCGGTAGCATGTTTCTCTATCGCGCTCGTCTGTGTGCGTGTGCGTGCGTGCGTGTGTGTGTGTGCGTGCGTACACATTCACGCGCAGTTTGCTTATGCGTGCGTCCACGCTTGAGTGTCAGCTGATTGCCTGCTTGGGGATGCCCGTTCCGACGGGTCCTCATCTTCGTCGTAGAAAACAGCGGTTGTAAAGAGAAAAATATCTGTGGATCGAGTACCAGTGTATGTACACACATTTGGGGTGAATCTCCCATCTACGTGATCTACGTGGTGATGCGGTGGTCCAGTGGCAAGCGCGTGTAAACTTCGCATCAGTCCAATCAAATTCACAGGTCACCGTGTGTCGTCTGTTTTTGGTACCAGGTGTGCATCATTTCATTTTGAAAATTTTTCAGAAGTAGTAGCTTATCGTCATCCATAGAGCGAATTTCACACATGCATTAGGGTATTTTCAAACTTAATGGTTACTCAAGGGGAATACAAAATTTAATAATAATAATAATATAATTAAAATGTTAGTTTGAGGCCTAAACCACAAAATGATAGCTTTCTGATCTTGATACGAAATGTACACTACTACTAATACCACTATTTACCTCGGGAAACTAGGTCGTACCAAGAGAGAGACCTGAGCAGATCAGGTTCAACGACTATTCGTATTCGACAACCGCTGTCTGTGTAACATCGCCCGCGTATAGTGGGAGCATCGCGTGAGTAACGATGAGTTCAGACAATGTGTGCTAGGACCAGATAGTCTTCTGTTGAGCAAAATAATTTCACATCATCGTCTTAGGTGGCCAGGGCAAGTCCTACGAATTCCTGAGCAACGTCTGCCACACCGTGCACCATTGGCAGACATTGGTTCGGGCTGAAAGAAACAGCGAGGTGGACTGGCTATGACTTGGCGCAAGTGGTTAAAGAGATTGTGCTCGGATTTGGCTTCTGCTGGGGTTCCCCAGATGGACCATGAAAGATTCAGTTTGTCTTTGGCTGGAGACACTGCGGGATATGGCATCGAATCGAAGTCAGTGGGGTGAACGCATCCTTTCCTGTGTGCAATTCTCAAAATAAACAAAAACGAAAAAAACCTCAAAATGACGTGCAGTAAACAAACGAAAAATTTGTTATTCCCTAAGTTGGTTGTTTTGTTTTCCCCATTAATGTGCCTGTATTTTTGCTAGGCCATCGCTATTTTGGCGCCGCATCTGTAAAGATTGATGTTAAATTATATATATATATAATTTTGTGCAGTCATTCACATATTACTTATTATAACATATATATATATATTTATACGTATATATGTATATGCACGAGCAGTGAACATGAAAGAGAGGTTGGTGTGTGTAGAGGGGGGCCAGTCCACATTTGATCCAACTACCGAATTAAAAAGATCTGCAAGTGGAAACTGTGTGCTAACGTGTTTGTTGTTTTGCCCGGTTGCGGATTGGCGATTTGAAATTTTTTTTACGAACTGCCCAACTATTCGATTTTTGAAAATTGATATGCACTTTTGTACAGATTGTTCCTTTTTAATGTTTATTATTTTACATCCATATCTATAATGTTGGGTTCGTTTTCCGCTGAAAACTTGCTCCCGTAGATAATGATATTTGAAACCATTCCGTTAGTTCTATTCACAAATCAGTTTTCTTTCCCCCAGCCATTGTTGGTGTTAATAGACAGCCCTATTGTTTGATCGATTGCCACTGGTGGTGGTGGTTAGGTCACCAACTGGTGACCCGGGAGTCCCGAGTTCGAACCACTCCACCGCCTATTTCTGTATTCTCCCAGGCAGCCTTTGTATGGCCGCGGCCCCCCTCTCTGAATGTTGACTGCACATTTGTATATTCAATAAATGAAAAAAAGGGAGTAAAAAGACAGACAGTACAGCTGGTTCCAGTCTTCTGAACCAATCTCTCTCTCTCCCAAATCCGTTCGATAATTGAATGATGCGCACACAACGCACACACATTCACATTTCGGTTTCTACAGATATAATATGATGATTGGACCTCTACGGTCGGAAACTAGATGATAAATAATATGAGCCACTTTGAATGGCTAATCTCCGTTTGAACACACTTGTTCAACATACACACACACATACACGCAGACGCCCGTGCTCTCGGTGCGATTCCCTAGGGGAAAGTCAAGACATTGCTGAAATTGACGCGATTATTGTGTGAATCAGCTTCAACCAAACAATAATCCTGCCTACTGTTTGTCTGGGGGCAGCGAATGACATTTCCTGGGCATGCAACTGTCTTGTTTGTGCTGGGTTACCCTTGGAGCAAACCTCTGTTCGACTCTTCCTCGATGATGTGGATGATGGGTGTATTGTACATGAGAATGAATTCTGAGGGGGGCGGGGGAGATGATAGGTCCAAATCGATAGTTTGGACTCCTCCTTCTCGTCGTCGTTGTTGTTTGTATATGAATCGTTCAGTTTGATTGTTTTTGTGGCTTCCTTGCAGCCTATTCTACAGTTCGTATCCAATTAACGTCAAATTGGCCGGTTCCATGAAACCAGAATTTTTTTTTCAGTTTTTGAATAAAACGAGTAACACAACCGGGGCAAATTTAATGATATTGGTCATCCATCAAATTCACGTGCTCTCAATCAGCTGTCTACACACATGTTAAATAGGTTGGAATGGTACAAGGAGAATGACATTTGTGGACATGTACAGAATTACGGGGGTTCAGGCAGAGACATGACGTTAATGCAGTTGCTATTGCCATGATAACTGTTGCTTATATCCCCTCCCCTTTCATTCATCTCATCTCAGCCGTTCCCCTAGCCCATCGTTGACATTTCATCCTTATTTCCATATCATGTAACTCTTTTTCACCCAGTTCATGTACAAATTTTCGATCGCGTTTTCTTTCCATACATGTTCTTTTTTCATTTCCGGTTTTATCTATTTGGTATGACCTGGCCACTTTCAACTGTCTTTCCTTCGCGGTTCGTTGTTTTTCATTACGTAACTGTTTCTATGCTAGCATCGTCTTATTATCCCCTCCCCTCCTCGTTCACTTGGTGGTGGTGGAGGCGCAGTGGTTTAGTCGTTGTCACAGGTGTGCTTCGGACCCAACAGTCCGAGGTTCGAGCCCCGCCACTGTCATCCAACTTTGGTGGTAAGTAGCCTTGCTGCCATCCGGTTCAATATCAAGCCTAACCCAGCTGGGTTTTATGTGGTTCGCCACTCCAAGTCGAACGGGGCTTAGGTTATCGATGTCCATCACAAAACATCAAGTCCTAGTGACTGTGGGGTTCTCCCCGTCTGTTGTTCATCACACAACTATGTATTTTTGTAATTTAAAAAAATGACTCAACAACCGACTCCTTTCCGATTAAATCCACGCAGTTATGTAAACATCCATGTATCATATCAAATTCCGACCCAGTTAATGTGTGTAGACTGTAGCTGTTAGTGTTGTTGGTGTGTTCTCCGAGAGCTGGAAGTGTGGTTGTTTTTGTTGTTCGCGGACGTTACACGAGCCATGCTGAGCACAATCATCAGTGAATTCCTTGTTGTGCACATTGAAATCTCTGACAATGGTAAGCTGACTGCTACGATCTGCTGCCAAGAGTGTCTCAGTGCTGGAAGACAGAATATCAAAAATAGAAGAAGCACTGTTGCTCGGGGAGAAAGTAATTAGGGAACTGAAGATGAGTAGTGTCTGACAAAACGGTACATTTTAATATGTCCCATGTTTTCGAAGATCGTTCATTCCACATTGCAGTTTTGAATTTTTCCAGTTTTAACGTTTGTTAGTTCAGAGCTATCGCCACGATACAACACACACGGGTAAAACGTGCAAAATATGTTGTCCTAACTATTCTACAACTACATATAGATGCACGCTTCTAACAAGGCAGTCATAAAGTGTGTTCAGTTGAATGCGAACCTCCCGTGTGTGACGTAATTCGTGCACACACCGCGCAGCGTGAAGTGTCACGCTCCGATGTGTTGTTGTTGTTGTTGTTTGATGGACGTGGGCTTGACACGACAACTTGGTCACTTTGACATTTCTCCTCGGTTTGGTGTCTGCTTGTCCCCCCCCACACACATATATACTGTTTATGTTTGTGTGTATCATGACGACGAGCAGAGTTTATTGATTTTCCATACACACACACACACACCTAGGTGTGCGTGTTTTGCGGTCACAAATGTCCGGCCGGCCGTTCAGCACAGCTCGGGACATGTCGTGTCCTCAATCAACACTGTGTGTGAGAGAGAGAGCATATTGTGTATTCGTCACTCAGTGAGGAGGTTTCGGGAGCCGAGTTCTTCGCGAACAGTTGTACACAATGCCCTCGGGGGTTAAGCTGAGCTGAATGCTATCAGGCCCGTCCCCTCGCGGGGTTGTGGATAGGAGGGAGATATCTACTCCACCGAAGAAGAGATTAGCTGTGAATAAGTTGTGTGGCATAGCGCAACAAATAAACAATCCTGCCTGGTGGCGTAGTGGGTAGCACGCTTGCGTTCTGCCCATGAAGTCCTGGGTTCGATCCCCAGTCGGGTCGATGGATTCGCACTGCTGATGAGACCCAACCAGATCGAAACAGCTGTCCAGTGCTTCCGAGCTTTTCAGTTCACGCTTCATTTGCTATATACACGACGAATTGTCATTTGAAATAAACAATCGCAAATAAACAACGGCAGCACTACTACCAGGGTGTGGTGGTAGTGGTGGTGGTGGTGGCGGCGGTGTTGTGACAAAGGTGGACGTGACTGGTCTTTTGAAACTAAAGTCATCGGGCGGCGAGGGATTACTTCTTGCTGGCTTGCAGTTCA